AGCATTGCTAGGTGAGATATCTTCTAAACATTCCTGTCTCCTCCATCACAACAATATCAGCCAATCTGGCAGGTCACACAAAGGCAGACAGTAATCATGAGTGCAAAAGCACACACATATTCATTCAATGGAATGCACTGACAGATAATGTAAACTGGTGGAGTAAGTTTATTTTTGTGCCATTAAAGTTACTAAAAGGCCAGCACCCACTGGCTCTAGCCTTAAAGCCTTTGGCCCCCAATATCTTCTTGAAAAGAGCTTCTCCACCGGTCAAAGTCAGTCTCAGTCAGTGCTATTATCCCTACCAATTTACATGCCAAATACAAAGTCCCAGCAGCCAACACATCATACAATATTTTTGACAATTTAATAATTCAAAAAAGAGCTCAGAATAAGGATATTACATACTCAACAACGCGTGTATGACACATGACACACAACCCCCCACTAAATCAGTGGCTGTCCTGGCCACTGCTCCTTATACCTTGCAGGCTGTCTGTTTGAGCGAGGCTCTTCTCCCCCACCCCCTTTATTGTCCCCACCCCTGGCTGTTGGTGTCCTTGCAAAAGAGAAAAACCCCAACTGTGGCCCTACAGTACCCTGCCCCATAGTTTGCTCATCTGCCAACTTTCCTGGATCTCTGTGTGCTCCTGGAGGCACATGAAGGTGATTGTGGTGAATGGTGCGGATGGGTCCATCTCTTCCTTCTGGCCACACAGTATACATAGGCTGATCTGGGGAGTGCTGGGCAAGGATTACATAGGACTATGGATTCCATTGTGGACCCAATTTACCCAGGGATCAGTGGAGGAAGTTTCTCACAAGAACTATCTTTCCTGACAGCAGAGGCACCTGACAAGCCTTCCAGTTCCACCTGACCTGATTCTGTTGCTTTCATCACAGACTCTCTTCCACAGCTTAGTGATAGGCCATCCTTAGCCCATCGATTATGTACTACCACTCCAAGGGTCCAATTCTGTCATCCTAGTGATGTACTCCTACATCCTAATCTACTGGCAGATGAGCATGGTGTCCAAACAGCAAATAAAAAGGTACAAAACCAGTGCAGCTATGTGGTGTGTTGTATCAACTCCTTTAAGTTTTTACTGCACCTTGCCTTCTCCCTTGGGTTTAGTGTGTTTAGCAATCTCAGGATAGTCTGGTTCATGAGTTCACAAGCACCATATCCCTATGGATGGTAAAGAGTAGTCATTAATGCTGATTCAAAGGCTGGACTTTAATCACTTTAAATTTTCTCAGGGAATCCGAATGTCTGAAACACTTGGCTTCACAGGTGTCTGGCTGTGGTAGCTGCTGTCTGGCCAAAAGTAAGCATGTCAAAGACAAACCTGGAAAAGAAGGTCCACTATTACCGGAATGTACTGGTAGTAATCCCCACGTTGTCCCAAGAATAGATAACCTATGGCCAATGTCTCCCAGGGATAACTGCTGTTGATGGAACATGCCGAGGCTGGTACACTTCCTCTGCCATCACACATTGCACAGGTGATACATTCCCATTGCCCATACTGTATTATCCCTGTTAATACCAGTCCAAAACAGCCTCCCTCAGAACGCTTGCAACAAGCATCTCCCCTTGGCATGTCCTTATGCATCATGGTACTTAGTCCACAGGTCTTGCCTCTCTAATATAGGCAGCACCTCAGCTGTGCCTTTGGTCGTCTCCTTACCAGCACTCCTTGAAGGAACTCTGGCTGCTCCCACTCATGGAGCAGCTGTCGACCAGATCTACCAGGGACAGTGGTGGTCTCACTCCATGGTCTTTTCACTGTCACACCAGAGCCATTTCTTGATCCTGGTTCTGCTGCTCTGCCCATCTTTCACCCTCTTGTCCCTCTCAACAGCCTATGGAAAGGCAGGAATGAATCTTATATGGTACCCCACAAAGCCCAAAAATGATTGGACCTCTCTTACCATGGTTAGGGATGCCATGTTTGAACACTGTCTTGTTAGGGTCAGTTGCTACCACATAGACCCTAGAGACTACACTGACCATTGAAAAAGGCAATACTTCTAAGACTGAAGCTTCAGTCCATGGTCCCACAACCACCCAAAGGCCTGTGCTAGGTGCTGCAGATGGCTGGAAAAATCTGATGAATTTACAATTACATTGTTAAGACAGATCAGAAGGAAATCATACACCTGACATCCCAGACATCTCTGCATCAACCAAAGGGCATCCATTCAAACTAGTAAAAGCATATAGGTGTGGGGAAAGTGTTTTTTTTTCCTTATCAGGCATGCTTATGGATCACTGCATTCAGCTTCTGATAATCTATGCCGAACCTCCATGTCCCATCCTTTTTCTTCACCAATACTACTGGTGCAGCCCAAGGGCTTGATCCTATCCTGGTGTTGCTTCCCTCCAACATACTCTGAAGGAGTGCCCTCAACCCAGGGTAGAGACTATGGGGCACTGGCCAATAGCCCTCCCCAGTGGGGATGGTATGAAAAACTGTGGCTATGCAGTCATGGTCTTTCTCATCACAAGCAAAAATCCCTTGCCACTGGTGCAATAGGTCCTGCAGCTTCCCCTGCTGTGCAGACATCAATCCTTCAGCCCCTTGGGAGGGGGCTTCTAACTAGCTGGGGAAAGCATGCAACATAATTTACCTTTCTACTTTACCTACCTCTGCATTATCTCCCTGTTAATGCAGAACCAGCTGGTTTGGAGCCTGTACCTCCCAATGGCTAAGCTAATTTTGCCAGGGGGTGACTGCTTCAACTGCTGGCGGACAGTAAACACTTGACCCCTTGCGGTTGCTCCTATCCTGGGCAGTAGATTCAAAGACAGTTAGATAATGTTCCCACTTCTGGCAGAGACCTCCCCAACAGCACTGAACCACATTCATGCCTAACACGCTTAAAGTGGGGAAAGATACTAAGATTTCACTACTTCTTTGCTAGGCACATGTACACCTCCACTTCCAAGTCCAACAAGACATAGCCTACATACAGAATAGACAGTCCATTTGCAGTCTTGAGTGTGAGTCAGTTCCTACTTCTGGAAGAGACTCTGACTGAATAAAGTAAGTTCTGAGCCAGTATTAACACAAGCTTACCTTCTTCTTTCATATCCACTTCTGGACATCCATCTACTTTTGCTGACCTGATGGGGGCATCTACTTCTACCTAAGTGAGCAGCAGCTGATGCCATGGTGAAATTGTTTGCTGCAGCCTCATGTCTAGGACAATTCCATTACATATGGCCTGCTTCTCCACGTTGCAAACAAATTGGGTGGCCCTTTTGCCACTGGTGTTGGTTCTCTCCTCCTTCTCTCACAAGGTCTCCCATCACCACCGCCCCAGTGGATGGGCCTGATTATGACTTGGTTAATTTTGAGCATCTCCACTGTACACACATTTTTTTCCACATTGCCTCTCTGAGTCCCAACATCTGGTCCCATACCTCTGGAATTAATTTAGTTCTTACTGTCTCCTTCATCTTCTCCCACTCCTGTCATGTGTCTGGCTGTGTTGTGATCAAAGAAGCACTGCTAAATGTTCACTTTGTTTCCAATTCCACTCTTGGTTTCTCTTTGTCTCTTGCTCAGTGGCCTTTGCCTCTGCACACACCTCATGGAAGGTCAGGGTTAGCTCTCTTCGCACCCTCCTCTGGAGCTCCATTTGTACTGGACCAGGCCACAGCCCTAACACCAACTAACTGTGGAGCACCTCCTGCTGGATCCTGGTTCTGCCACTTAGCATGGGACTCACAGAGATGCAAGATAAATGGCCCCACCCCTCACCAACCTGTTGCTGACATTTAAAAACTTTGACCTTACTTGAGCTAGGCTAATGTTTTCCCAATATACTCTTTAAAAAACATTAAATATGTTAAAGGTAATGTTTCTCTCTGTCTGTAACACTTTGTCTATCTTTAGAGCAGGGGCTAACCACAGTCATTTGATTTTTCTATTACATCCTCCTTTTTATTATAGCAAGTTAAACAAGTTAGAATGAGATTTTACATTTAGAAAATATTAAGTAATAAAAATATGAATATTTTCAACAACAAATAATAATAATACATACAATCTATTGGTTAAAATGAGTTTATTAACACTTTTACAGTAAGAGTTAATAATGAGTTACATTTGAGATCAGATAATTGCTAGTTGCCTTCTAGAAAGAACAATAAAAAAAATACAATTGGGAATTCTACCATTTGGACATCTAACATCATGAAATCATTTAAAAAGGAATGCAAAAGACTTAAGGAAGAAGGAGTAATTACAACAGGTGCTTTGAAAAAAAGCAAGGTGACACTTAATTTAAGGTCTGCATCTTATGTATGAGTACACTTGCAAATGTAATGTGACCATTTACTACCACATTTCTTCATTTAGAATTCAGATAAATATTGCTTGTACATATTCCTTTATTCAGATGTCACAATATTTAACCCAATAGTCAACAAACAGTTCATCAGTAATTCACAGAAGACATTACTGACACATCTTTTGAATACATTTATAACATGTTATAAAGCTTACTTTAAATTGTATGTTTTTATTTACTAGGGTATTAATAACTGCTTGCTTATAGTTTAAAAATCATTTAGAAGCAGACCTTAAAGTGTCACCAAATGCACTAACAGATAGTGATAGGTTAATGATCATTACTGCAGCCTCATTCACTCATTCAGTTTGAAGTATACCCGATTAGTTCTTTAAATATCAGTAAGCCAGTGATAGTTATTAACGTCAGGACTTTCATCAACTGACATGCTGCAGAATCCCAAAGAGACAAATGTCACTAATAGATATGATATATCCATTTCTGTTACACTTTTACTTATTTCCTGAAGACTCCATAAAATAAATGAAAAATACCTTTTCCCCATGCAACATTTCCCATTTACCTCACAGCATATATAATGACTTAAATGTCTTGACAGTATCTGATACAACATTGGATAATAATTATGCACAATAAGCTATTTTTCCCCTCACTGACTGATACAAAATTAGGGAAACTTATTTTGCATAAAACTCTTGCTCTACATAGTCGTTGGCAAACATGATGATATTTGTTGCTGCCATCAGAATCAAAATATCCATTTCCATGTCATTGGTAACCTCCTCGCTGTAGTTCTTCACAGGGAAGATGCAGTTCATTGGGACCCCCAGCCTGTTACTGCACTCCTGCATCTATAGGACAAATAGTCTCTGTATACTTGTTTCAAACATTTTATGTTGTGTTCATTAACAAATATTTAGTAATGCATTGACTACACATTAAGTACATTGTTAAAAATGGTTAACTAATATTAAGTGAACAAGTAACTCATAATTCATAAAACTTTTATTCAGCTTGTTTTTTATATACTGCATACATAAGGACTGAATAAGCAATGTTACCCAAAGACTTTATTATCTATAATATATATAACAAACCTTTTTAAAGTCCACATAATATAAAGCTTCTACACCAGTTTAAGGTTTTTCCTTACATCCATGCCAAGAACCAAGTAGGTTCCTTTACTTTTAAGAGTGTACCTTCCTAACTGGATCACATCATCTCTTATGCACCTGTTTTGATCGTGTAATTTTATTTAATTTAATTCTATTACTATTTTACGGTACTATGCTTATGTTTAAGTTAGTATATCTTAAATGCATTTGCATTTTATTCTGGCAATAAGGTAGTTATTCTTGATTCCACAGGAAGGTAGATCTTTAGGACCAGGGTTGGTGACCACTATGTTAGAGCATACATATGAGGTGGTTTAAGGTGGTCTGTAGCTCTTGAAGAAGGAGTGATCATTTCACATGCTAAACATTATAGCCCATTGGTAGATTAGTGACATAAGAGAGAGACCAATAGGGGTGGATGGAATAATACAAGAGAAATGGGTGTTCTTACCTTCTCTTTGATTTTCTTACTGGTGTAGATTTTTTTCAGGTTTGCTTTAGTTAGTGGACATGCTTTGTCCACCATGGTCATGATGACAACTTGGGGAATTCCTGTTAAATAAAATGCAAACCAAGTCTTACACAGAGTTTAATACTTGCCTTTAATATGGCAAGATGTGAGACTGTTTACCCCACAACAGACTGAGAACTATGATCACTTACATAATAGACAGTATAGTAGAAATCATCAGCTAGTAGATTATAGTTATATGCATATTATACATACCTAAGTCACGCGCTTTTACCCGAACTTGCTTCATCTTCTGAATCACCTCTTCAGAGATGAGGGACATGTTGTCTGCTGGGAGAACACTGACCAGACAGTGAACTCTGTCTTTCAGGCTGGGTAAGTGGTTGTAGTTTTCATGTTTTTTGTCAATTGGACTAGCAGGATTGCACTGAAATACAATGGAAAACATTGATTGTAATAAAACATTGGGTTTAATGGTGAGGTAGAATAAACTACTTCTGAAAAAGATTTAAGGACTAATAATTTGACTGTTTTAATTTGACTGATGCAAAAAAATTGTTTAAGAAATAAAATGGAGCATCTTTGCTATATGCTAGTCTTAGCAAAGCAGAGATTCAGTGATAAAAATCTTATCTGTGTTTCTGCTTAGATGCATAAATAGAAGAATTCACATATGTTTTACATCACCATCCTTGACTGCTTACACCATTTGTTCAGTGTAGATTTGCTAAATGGTATTATCCAATGGCAGTGGCCTCTTTCAGCAGGATAATGTACCCTGTCACACTGTACCCATTGTTTGGGAACGGTTTGAGGAATATGACAAAGAGTTCGGCATGTTGCCCTGGCCTACAAATTCAGATCTCAATCCGATTAAGCCTCTATATGCTGGATATGCTTGAACAAGATGTCCGATCCATGGCAGCTCCACATTGCAACTTACAGGACTTAAAGGATCTGCTGCTAAAATCTTGATGCCAGATACCAAAGGCCACAGTCAGAGGTCTTGTGGAGTCCATGCCCCAGCAAGTTGGAGCTGTTTTAGCAGCACATGGAGCACCAACAGCATATTAGGCATAATGGGCATAATCTTCTGGCTAATCAGTTCTTAGTTATTTTTCTGATTTGATGACAATATGATTATATTTAGGGGTCACTTGAGGCAGAAACTCATAGATCATAGGCATATCGAGTCCAGTATTTGAACACTTAGTACTGATGTTATATCCATAACCTATAGCCAGCTAGCTAACTGCTTCTGAAACACACACAAGGTCACACAAGCTCCCGAGTTGGAACTGTCATATTTGCGAACACTATCGATATTTCACATGTGCTTTATAGTGTGCCACACCTGTAAAGTACAATTGTGGTGAAACATTGTGAGCTTTGATGCTAGGAGGGGCAGCTAACATAATACTAAGCTAATGCATCATTTTGTTCCTGCAGTTAAGGTGGGCCATTAGCTGTCACAGATTTGTAAATTAAGTTAATTACTTATATTAGCATCCTGCAAAGGGTGGCTAACACAAGTAGGAAGCAGCGTCTAGCTACTCTACAAACAACAGTGTAGTAAACCTTCATAAGAAGCACCGCTAACAAATTTAGAAAACCTTCAAATCTACTTAGATACTGAGGGTTTTGGGTGGTACATGGAGCAATGGGAGAGCAGTGGCTTTATGTGCCTTAATGTGATCATACACATAACTCTGATTTATACTTTAGAAGATCTGATGTCACAAATTTAGTCCCCTTCTACTCAAATTGAAAAGAAGAAAATGACAAAAAAGTACATTTTTTAAAATATCTCAATACAAAAGACCAACATCATTCTTTCTCAGCCAGTTTGTAATAGAAACACCACAAAGGCTATAGGTGAAACTAGTAGGAATGGGCTTTAAATTACATTATAAACTATATTATTAATTATTAATTATAAAAATCAGGGTGTAACTCCTGATAAAACCAAACCAAAACAAAACAAAACAGTCCTTTCAGAAGTACTAGAGTGAAGTTTTTGTACAGAATTGATCCCACCCACCTATTTGTTTCCATACAAAACTTTACAATGAAACAAGAGTAGTGACATATTGTTTAAACAGTTTAAATAGTCAAGTATTTTAAACAAAAAGTTAACAAAAAATTGCAGACATATATTTTTTGGGTTCCCAGAAATCATTAGGCCTCCTCTGACAGCTTAGAAACCCCAGAAAATTCCTCTTCTGGTAGTTTCTATTGTGGTATGTGGTATATATAAGAATGCTCTAAATAATTAGAAATATGTATCAACTTACTGTGTAGCCACTTTTTATGTGTCCATGTAAAATGCTGATTATGTCATCTGTGTGAGCACCCTTTGATTGCCCTGGCTCCAGGCCCATGATGTCTGCCAAGGCAAATGGATAGAAAGTTCCTGGTCTATCTTTCTTCAGGCTATGATATCTGAACTGGGGACATAACATAGACACACATCTAAAAATATATCCTGATAACATTTGCTTCAATCCAGTGCAATATGGGGTAATACAATTAAGCAATTTCTAGCATTATAACCAGTTTGGTGGAATTGGTGGAATTCTGAACTCTTTGTTAAAAGAGATCAAAACAGTTTCGTCTGTCTTTGTAATTAAATGGGGCAAAAATAATGAAACAATGCATACAGTGTGTGGGCTTGGATCAATTAGTAGGTCTGAGAGTTTAAACTGAATATTAAGCAGCTTTGTTCCTACCTGGGTAGTGAAACTGTAACTTTTACCAGCAGCTGTATCTACAAGTGCAACACATGCGTTGCGGTTTTGAAGGACATTGTTGAGAGAGTTGATCAAGCTGGACTTTCCTGCTCCAATTGGGCCATGAAGTAAAATCCTGAGACACTTGACATCTCGCGTGCTGACCTGGAATTCCTTCAGTTTTTTCAACAGCTGATGTTTGTTAGCATCACTATTTAAGACAGGACACCAGGATGTTAGTTCATCAACAGATCTACCAGGAAAATAGGCTATTGAAAACAATGTTAATTCTAGTTTATAATCATCGGTCATACCTCCATGTCACTGGCCTCCATGGTGTGTCAAATTCTGAGAAAACCACAATGTCTTTCAAAAGTAAGAATTTTGGCTTATAATAGACTTACAGATTTTTGTCTACAGCTTTTATTACAGGTTAAAGTTATGTATTACTACAGCATAGCACTTCAATTCATATAAAATTTTCATTTTGACAAAATGATTACAAATTCAACTTAATTCTCAATTTAATAGTGTTTTTGCTACAGTGAATGTTGTTTTCAGACACATACCTGGACAAGGGATGGGAGAAGGAGGAGGAGGATTGCTGGGCTTAGAAAATATACGACCAAATTTTTTCATGTCTATGTGTTGTTATCCTCCTTCTGTGAACAAGATGCAATATAATTTGTTACAGTGAGCTGAGCTATGACCTACAACCTAAACCCTTTTAGTACTTACTTACTTGGATGGCTTCTTGAAGGAAATGCTAAAGTTACCTCTTCAGCCACATAGACATTATGGGCTCTACAACTGCATCTGTATGTTTTTGAATGTCTAAATTTGTTGCTGACTTTTTTTAAAAAATCAATTGACAAATGAACATATTGGTGTAAAACTGTAAAAAGATTTAGTAAAAGTATTTAAGAACTAAAAGATGCTCCCAAAACCTATATTTATTATTTATTGCTGTACAACAAAGGCTTATTTTCACTTACCTTTCAGAATGTTAGAAATCAAACTGCTCAGCTGCGTGGACACCCTCCAGCTCTGAGTGAACGGGTCATTAAAGAGACACTGGTTATGAAATAGAAACAGGTATTGGGCGCCACACAGATTTTTACTTTCATTTTTAATAATACACAAATACACTAGTCTTGCTGTCGCCAGTCATTATGAACTGAATGATCTACGTGAGACTCTGGCTAAGCCCTAATCAGGAATGATTACAATCAGCAAGATAATGCAACAACAGAGAAATTTAAAGAATATAAGAGGAGTCTGTTCTTTTTTATTAATTCATTGATTTACTCTATTTTTATTTTTAAATTGATTTTATTATCCAATTAGTTTAAAATTGTTTATATATTATTTTACATTTTCATCTTCTGTTGGTGTAGGGCTAGAAGGGTAGGAATGGTAAGAGATTTACAACAGTAAAATTCTTATGCTTGTCCATGTCCTTCTTGAATAAAAAGATCAATAAAAAATCCCACTTCCAATGAAAAATTGTATTTTGTGATACAGTGTGTATTACAGTAGACTGAAGGGCATTTTCTGACCCACAGTTAAATGAGTAACACAATAAGTTTTTTTTTGTTTTGTTTTTGCTTTTGTTTTGTTTTTTTTTTTGGGAGGGGACCAGCTGGTGGTAGATAGTCTTTTAAAATCACAGATAACATCTTTTTAAACAAGCATGTTGAGAAAATCATGTGACAGACTGGGTGTGGGACTGTCTGTGGAATGGTTTTATGACTGATAAAGGTAGTTCCTAAATGTGTTCACAATTCAATGCAACTTTCTGAAACACAAGAATAACAGAAAACTTTCACGTTACTTTCAGCTTTCATTTCTTACAAATTAATTATTTATTTTTTTGTCTTCAGCCACAATAAGGTTTATATGCCTTATAGTGCTAGTTGGTCACAGCAGTGTTTTAGGGTGGATGGAGAGACCAAGTCAGATCCTGTGGCTTTTCTCACCTTCTGTCTGCTGAAAAGCCTGATAATGTTCTGCTCATTGATGATGAGATGAGCCACGCAGAGGTGAGAGAGCCAGGGTAGGGGAGGAGTGTGGTTGACCGGGAGAGAAAGGCGGAAGGTTGTCCTCTGTGCATTCAAATCTGCAGTAGAACTCAGTCAGGTCATTGGTTAGCTGGCAGTCATTCAGGAAAATGGGAGATTTCTCACCTTGTAGTTGGTGATGTCATGGAGGCCTATCCAAACTGATGATGGGCCGTTCACAGCAATGTGGTTTTTCAGCTTTTCTAAGTATTTTTTCTTTGCTGCTTCAGTGCCTTTCTCCAATTGATCAGTAATGAATTTGAATTTAATTCTAAGATTAAAAAATAAAACAGTAATAATATACAATATATGGCCAAAAGTAGACGAACACCTGACCATCACACCTACATGTGTTTCATGGACATCATTTTAAAAAAAACACTGGGTTTAATGTGGACTTGGCCAAAGCCTCCACTATTCTGTAAAGGCTTTCCACAACATTTTTGAGTGTGCCTATGAGAATTTGTATGCATTCAAGACCATTTGTGAGGTCAGGCAATGACGTTGGACAAAAAGGCCTGGCTTGCAATCAACATTCCAAATCATCCCAAAGGTGTCCAGTGGGGTTGAGGTCAGGGCTCTGTGCAGACCACTCGAGTTCCTCCACAACAAACTCGTCAAGCTATGTCTTTATGGAGCTTACTTTGTGCACAGGATATTGCTTCCAAAGGCAAAGAACTCTGCAGTTAATTTCATGAACTGATCTGTGGCAAAGGTGGCATTCTACGATAGTGCCGTGTATAAAGTCACTGAACTCTTCTGTACCCCTCATTCTACTGCCAATGTTTGTCTGTGGAGATTACATGGCCATATGTTTTATTCTATACATCAGTTAGCTTATTGATAAGTCATGTCTCAATGAATGTGGGACATGACCTATCAATTGCTGCAAATACTGAAAATATATGGCAGGGGGCTGTTTGGTCAGGAAATTTCACTGTGCTTTGGGGATGTGTTTATGAGAAAATATACCAGCTTTGATGCGTATTCTCTGCCTTGGCTTGCTGCATGATTTGGGGTGAAGTGGACAGGCAGGGAATCAACTACCATCAGATTTTATATAGACAATCTCTTTTGAGTTCTTCAGAGCAGGGGTTCCCAGTGACACTCCCAATGGCCCAACACAATGCATTTTTGTGCTTTGTCTCATCAAGCAGACCTGATTCACCTTGTTAACTACTTAACAAGTGCCTCATTGGCTGGGTCAAATGGGAAGAGTAGAGAAACTAGAAAAATGTGCAGAGCAAAGGGTCACCAGGACTGGATGGGTTACACCAGTGGTACCCAAACAAAGACATCTGTTCACTGTGCTCTTATATTGAATGCTTTTCCACACTGACAATGCAAGCCTAATACGGGGGAGCAGGGAGCAGGTTTTCACCCATGCCAGATTTCTTGGCCAGGCCCTTTGTAACTAGAAGAGAATCTATCATTGATGTCTTCAACACCCTCAACCAACTTTACCTTGATGCTGAAGAAGAAGAAATTATACTCTCTGAACACCATGAACAGGACTTTCCTCAGCCACTGCCACCACCTCCACCACCACTAGAGGATGGCAAGGAGCTCATTTTGACTATGGAGGAAAAGATTACAAGCCTGGAGAAATGGGTCATGGACATGCTGGATCAATACAAATCTCATATAACAAAGGAAATAGAGAAGTGGAGTGAACAACTGCAAGCTCTCCGTATAATGATGGAGGAAGCAGACAGAACCTGTTGGAGTGTATACTTTACCACCAAGATGAACAAAAGGGAGAAGCTGAGAAAAGTGTTTGATTTGGAGTTGCAGGAATTTGGTGGAGTCAGTGGTGTATTGCTTGAGATGAAGAAACAAACAATTAGACAATTGGCTGCAGTCTTTGCTCTCTTATAGCCTCTACCCCAGTACCTACAACCACAAAAACACCAGCAAGCCCAGACGTTGGCCTAGCAAGTCACACCATGTAGCACCTATCAGACAACCACCTGAAACCACCAATCCAGCTGGAGTTCACCAGATTCAGAGGAGCAGGTAAGAAAACAGACCCAATAGTTTTTGTTTAGAAATGCAGGGAGTTCTTGGCCTTATGACCAGTGGATGACCATAAAATTCTGGTAGCCCTTACATCAGTGTTATCTGACCCAGTATTGGGCCTTGTGTCTGTGATAGAGGGAGAAGATGACAGAAATGCACTTGCTTTATTTAAGCCATCCTCAGAAATTGTAACCCAAGATTAGCCAGCCTGCAAAGGGGAACAGTCACCACTGTGGTTGCATTTGTCAGCATAAGGGCTTGGTGGAACAAGATCTGTCTTAGGCTAAGAGCTATTGGAGCAAAGCACAGCAGGATGCTGGAAACAGACAGGGTAAGGCGACAAAGAAAGGTGTTTCCCAAAACTCTGGTATTACTAATGTACTACAACAGGGCAAACTACATTCTGAGACACTGACCATTCCACATCTGTACCACATCTGCATGTTTGCTTTAGTAGATACTGGCAGTACATATTCTATGCTGCAAGATGACAACTGGCACCAGCATAAGGAAAATGAGGATGTATGGGAAAGTAGCAAAGGAAAGACATTCATCCGTGTCAATGGCCAAACACAAACCACCAGGGGGCTTTTCGAGGTTGACTACACCCTCCACTCTTTCCAGTTCTGCCACCCATTCTATGGTATTACCAGACAGGATTTGGCTTTCCCCTTGGTGGTAGACCTGAACTTCCTCCAAGCCACAGGATTTTAAATTGACTTCCAGAGGGACCAACCAGAGCGAAACCTTAGATTTGGACAGGATATCCCCATCTCCTTCACTGACGTATGACTCTTTGCAGCACAGCAGGAGTATGTGTCCCTTGACCAGGAAGAAATGAAGGCCCTACAACAGCTAGTAGCATCATATCATAAACTCACATAGAATATATATATACTTGTCACTATGGATACAGGTTATCATTGACACCCCATTATAAGAGCTTGTAGGTTGCATTTGCCAGGCCTAAGTAAAATGAGCCATGTAAAATGAACCGCCTCCAATATTATGAGTAAGTCTTCAAGGTGAAGTATTTATTGAAATATTCACTTAAACAATGCAACATACAGGGTAAAGCATATCTTACAAGCTTCAAATGTGAGAATTTAAACTAGTGGTGCTATAGTATTGTACGGCGTGACTGTGGCCAACTGCAGCTGGAAAATAAAGCACCATGAGTTGTGCAAAATCAGTGTTTTTCATTGCAGTGAGCACTACAGTACTTAATTCAACGTGAGAAAGTGTTAGCTTGGTGC